TTAACTCACTTGGTTGTAGCTTTATAAAATACTTTCTTTCACATTTACGGATTATCAAATATTTACCTTTGGGTATATTTACAAACAGTTTGTGTAGTTTTGAGAAAAATGCTCAGAATTGGAATATTAACTCAAACGGATACGCAAATAATAATATTTTGGCCAAAGAGCCATGAAAAAAGGTGAGAAGAAAGTTATTTAACCAGAACATTTAAACTCAAAGATGCTTCCCTATATGCAGACAAATCAAGAAAAACCTCGTCTGGTATCTGTTTTGATCATGTAACTAGCTTGTTTGTGAGTTATTATATATAGAAATTATTTAAACTAAAAAGGCCGAAAATTCCAAAGTTGACAATGCTCATTTGTAAACGAACAGAAGGCACATAACATGTGTTGTAATTTCAGTGCCAATTATTACAATACTCAGAATAATTCACGCTTCAATCCCTATAGTGATATATTTTTTGTCCTATAAATCTATTTGAATTGTTCGTAACATGTCTAACAAAGGCAACAGTACTATATCGCTGTTCAATAGTCATAAATAGATTTACCATTAAAACGTTTAAACCCGCCGCATTTGTTTGCACCTGTCCTAAGTCAGGAATCTGATGTTCAGTAGTTGTCGTTTGTTGATGTGGTTCATAAGTGTTTCTCGTTTCTCGTTTTTTTTTATAGATTAGACCGTTGGTTTTCCCGTTTGAATGGTTTTACACTAGTAATTTTTTGGGGCCCTTTATAGCTCATTGTTCGGTTAGAGCCAAGGCTCCGTGTTGAAGACCGTACTGTGACCTATAATGGTTTACTTTTATAAATTTTGACTTGGATGGAGAGTTGTCTCATTGGCACTCATACCACATCTTCTTGTATCTATTAACTGAAATAAATCAGGGTCATTAACCAAAAGGAAAACAACGGAACAACATAAACACTGCGCTGCTACAAAAACAAACGCCAACATACATAGAAACGCACTATTTGATAATCACAACAAGTCAGCTTTATTTTCCTGACAAGTCGACATGCAACGGGGTCGGATCGAGACAGATACTGAGATAGTTTAAAAATATAATTCTTTCGGAACTCTATTAATTCTTTCGGAACTTGACTGTAAACGCGGGAAAGATTTTTGCCCTGTCAACTGCAGTACAAGGTCGTGATTATTAATTCGACAACTCAACAAGATAAGGGCAGTTACTGGCATTCATCTCGACCTGAAGACGAGTTGCCGAGATAGCTTTTGTCGACTTGTCGCGATAAGTATGTCGACATGTTGTGTTTGCTTTAAGACAATGCTTCCATTATGTTGACTGGTTGAGATAATTAAGTCGACATATCGAGATAATATGTCGACTTATCGTGATAATATATCAATTTGCCGTAATAATTATCTGGGCAACTGGTCAATTCGATGGCAGCTGTATGCCACTATACTAGTTTGAAGTTTTGCCGTTCTGTATATGATTTTGCTTGGATTTGGGAAACTCTTGTAATACTGTGTTAGTCTTTCTGAGTAATAATTTTGGTGTATTTATAAAAGGAAGATAATTTAATAGCCTTTTGAAGTAAGGACAATTTAAAAACAAATCATTCAAAATACAAACATTAGTAGTGACTTAATTGAGTTAGCAAAACTCACTGATGAGTAGTTCGAAAAAAGGTCGTAAATTGTTGTGTAAAAAAAGCGAGAATTCTATATTTAGTTATTAATACATTAACATGTTCCCGTTATCTTTAAATGGCATAACAACAGGATTCTACCATGTAATTCATTTTTATTGAAATGTATATTAAAAGAAACTGAACTATGTACATGATGTACTTATTGTTCAGGAATCAGAGAATTTTTTTTCTCATATTTTTGGGGAATGTTATGTTGTACAAAATTTCTGGCTATCTATGATAGACTGGATTAGAAAGTATGACATTTTCTTGCCTTTTAGCAAACAGAAGTAATTTTAGTTGTGTCTGAGAATTTTGTTAACAGTAAATTATATTTTGTTGCTATTCAAATACTATATATACAAATGTAGATATAAGAACATATTTCCCTCAATATATGGTGGGATAAAATTGTAAGAAGCAGCATTTTTTAAACTAAACAGATTGTAATATATCTTATTTTATCATATACTTATAGAAAATAATGGTATAATTGTACCCCTTGATAAAACTAATTTGTACATATATTTGTTCATCAAATTTGAAGAATTGTCTTAACCGTGTGATATGACTTTCGTTATCAACTGCTTCCGGTTTATATCAACTGCTTCCTGTTTGAATCAACTGCTTCCGGTTATTATCGCTTGCCTTTTTGTTACGTTATCGAATAGCATTTCGACGTCACTCTGCAAATTCCGGAAAATACTTCTCAATGGTACGTTTCGAGTGAAAAACATAACAAAATAGGATAAAAAACAAATATTAGGAAACAGGAAAATATATTATTAAAAAAAGCATAACAAATAATAAAATAAATGCATTTTTTAACAATAGTTCTTGTCTGTATGTCTTCTGCCGAAGTATATGATAAAAAGAACATAACATGTCATTTTTCATATCAGACCCCTTATCAGCCCATGGTCAAAATCATCCTTCGAGCCTGTCGGCTCTCGGGCTGATAAGGGGTCTGATATGAAAAATGCCATGTTATAATCTATATATATCATAATGATTTGATCAATTTTACAAGTGCTACCTTATCTTTATAATTTGTGTCTATAACTGTACAATGTAATTTCACATGTTTCATCATGAAAAATACAAAAAATACCCAAAAAAAATATCATCTCCTTGATATGTATTATTTATCAAAACAAAACCATATAATATAAAGGTACATGTATGTATACATCGTATGAAACGGATTTACAAGAATCTTATCAAAACATTCACTTTCTCCATGTACGCGTGCCAGATTTGTTTATTTTGGTGACAGGCTTGTCAATTTCTGTAAATTTATTATTGATGTAATTATTAGAATTTTATGAAGATTGTAAATACAAGACTATTCATATTAGAAGCAAGGACAGGTGCCAGATGTTTGGTCTACGCTGTTTAACAGTTGACATTTAAGGGTTGCAATTTTCATAACTTCGAAATTCTATGATGTAATTATAATACAACTAATACTAATTCTATAAAGTAGCCATAGTGCCGAATAATTACAATTCATTTGTCACTACAAAATAAAACCTATTTTATTTTGTAGTGATAAATAAATTATTCTTTCTTTGAAAACGTTTTGATAGAAAAATATTTGATTTCAAACATTCTTTTTACAGATTTACTGTTGAAGTCTTACGGAAAAAGGTATCAACAAAAATAGTAAATTAATGAAATTCGGACATTTGACATTTATAGAGTGTTGTTTTAATATTTTAGATACATGAATATGGTCATTTGGATGTAAGTAAAAAAAAGTGAGGTAGTTATATGATTTGTCAATATTTAATCATGCCTCATAATCAGTGCCGAAATCACTATAGGTGAGTGCTTTTGATCAAAGTTTTGTATGATCCTTCGACTTCTAATCCTTTGAATATGCCCCAGAATGTTTTCTTATTCTACGTTTCACTAAGGGACATGCAGTGTATACGCCAATGAAACAGTAACTTATATAGTCGTCCACAACAGACATCGCCTGTAAAACAGTTGTGAAAAAACTAAACAAAGTATGTGAAAGATCTGCCAACATCTAAGTATATTATCACAACATGGTGTATATGTCTATTGCAGACAAGTAGGTTTTAGCATTTCGATGAACGTAATATTAAAACAAAGGAAATTAATTGTGTATATCATACATGATTTTGATTAAAATCATAATGACTTTGTTAACACTAGTGAAAGAATTTTAGTTTGAAACGGTCATTTTGATCTTAACATGATCTGAAATGTCTAAACAATTAATTGTTTAGTCATATTCAGCTTTTCAGTATATTTTCAGACTTATCCACTGCGGTTATTTCAGTACTGTTCAGACAGTTCACTTGCAGTCAATTCAGTAGTGCTCAATATCATTTCAGACAAATCTGTATAATGTTGATGTGTACAGGTAAATAGAAGCTACCTAACTGTCTGAACAAAGACTGAACAGATTTTTATTGACTGCAAGCAAAATATCTGAACAGTACTGAATTAACCGCAGTAGTCAAGTCTGAAAATAGACTGAAACAAGAGCAGTTCAGATCAAAATTGGTTTACTAGTGTAAGCATCTAGACAAAATGACAATAATTAAAATAATAATACTATAGTTTAGTTTGTTATCATTTCTGGGGTTTGTTATATTGCCTTTTTGATTGATTATTAAAATATGTTCCCTTTTGAAAATGTCGGCTTAATCATCACACAAGGTTAGCAGTTTTCTTAAAAATAGCATGTTCAAACCATTAAAATTATTGGCATAGCTATCATTATCAGCCCTAGCTTAACCACAAAGAAGACAGTTATCTACTTTGACGTGATCCTGCTTCGGTATATTAAGATTACTTGGTTGTAGCAACTGTTTAATTGGGTTCAAGCGTTTGGTGCTGCTCGAGGTCCGTCAAGAATTATATTGTAAAGATAAGAAAATTTAAAATCAATTCAGATTTAAAACAATAATTCCGGAAATGTTGAGCAACACAAAGTACGAAATTTCCATAGTAACCAATAGACAAAAACTTCATCAATATCAGTCGTAGAATTTAAGAACTCAGTAATTTATTAAAACTTATGTCAGAATACATAAAAATGTTATCTAGATTATAATATTTATTATTAACTAGCTTATTTATTCTTGTAAAATATATGTATTTAAACCTTTGAAGAAAAGAAAACAACAATAGCTGATTCAAAAAATCAGAATTATTTCATATGGTCCAATTTCTAAAGAGAAAAACTTTATAAGTTTGTGTGATAATGAATTTTTGTTTCTTTGATTAATTTCTTTTAATTAATAATAATACCAAAAAGTAACAAACAAATTAAATAAACATAAAGTCAAACTGTAAAATCACGTTGATACCTTAAATCTTCAGACAGAAAAGACTTAGACAATCTTTACAGTACTTTTCATAAGAAACATAATTACTTAAATCTTTTTTGAATGCCAACGATAAATTTTTTATAATTTCCGTAGTTTTAGTAGGTCATGATATGCATAATGTCTAGCAACTGACATAATAGTTATCAAAGGTACCAGGATTATAATTTAATACGCCAGACGCGCGTTTCGTCTACTTAAGACTCACCAGTGACGCTCATATCAAAATAGTTATAAAGCCAAACAAGTACAAAGTTGAAGAGCATTGATAAATTACCCGGACAAATGTATAACACATTTGTACTGATACCATTAGGTCATTGCAGACATACCAAGTCAGGAATGTGGCAGTTGTTATCAAATAGTTCGTTTCTATGTATGTTGGCGTTTGTTTTTGTTGCACTTCAGTGTTCCTGTTGTTCATTTGTTTTCATCTTATAGTTGATGTGTTTCCATCGGTTTTAGTTTGTAATCCGGATTTGTTTTCTCTCAATCGATTTATGACTTTTGAACACCGGTATACTATTGCCTTTATATATACAATTTGTTAAGAGCGATACATTTCTTAATTTGAAATGATTTTCTAAGTTTTATCAGTATAATTGTTCAAAGTTTGGCATCTTAATGCGTTTTTACCACCACTGGGGTCGATGCCACTGCTGGTTGATATTTCGTCCCCGAGGGTATCACCAGACCAGTAGTCAGCACATTTGTTTTGACATGAAATGTCATTGATATGTTAATTTTTCTGTATATTTACTGTTTATAAAATGTTGCATTATTCAAAACACTAAGATTGTTCTACCCCCAGGTAAAGATTGCCCTAGCATTATTTGCCACATTTGTATGGAATATTTTAATGCTTTTCAACTTCGTGTTTGATTTGGGCTTCCAACTCTTTTGATTCGACCGTCAATAGTGAGTCATTTGTAGACGAAACGAGTGTACACAATTATAATTCTCGTATCTTCGATTCAGCATATTTCAATAACACAATACCGTATATCGGATTTTTTTCGCGTCGGCTTTTTTCGTGATTTAATGACAAAATGGGCAGGTTAAATTTTCACTGTGTATAATTTTAGCTGAATGGGAAAAAACACGCGAAAAAATAACTGTATCGTATTATTAAAAATGTAAACAACATAAACTTGATTGACTGACAGGTAATCTATTGCAAATACATATGGGTACTACAAACAAAAACACACATAATTCAGTGAACTTTCATCGAACATAGAATAGGTACAGACCATGGGGCGTGCTAAAAAATTGAAGCTATTGATCATTACAGGTAAACAAATATCCGTGTAAATGTGATTTATTTTTATTTTAATTTTACAACAGATTCAAAATGTTCGTGTTATGACACCAATAAATAGATCGTCGCTAATTCACATCTTTTAATCTTTCACTGATTGCTGTGTTGTCAAAAGGTGTACCATATATGATTAGTCATTTTAATTATTATATAAACCAGGGACAGTCTATACTAACGGGACTGGTCACTTATAACCATGTCTATACACATATGCAGACATAAATGTGCCGTGGCTGATGTCACGTGACTTCATAGCAAATCATTTCACTTTTTCGAAGTATTCTTCACAACAATGTGATCAAGTTTAATGAAATAACATTTTTATAAAATTTTATACATTTTGTCATTGCAAAATGATGTTTTTGAAAAGATTTCTTTGATAGTTTTTAAAATATAGCCCTTTGAACTTTCAGGTATTTTGTTAGTAAAATTAGAGTTGCCGCCATCTTGTTCAATGTGTACCCCCTTTTGCACGGCTGGAGTGTTCTTCAAAACGAGATTTCTCAATTTTATTAATTTAACATTCTTTTAAAATCTTATATTTTTTGTCATGGTAAATGGTTATATATTAATCAGATTTGAATGATTTAAAAAAAAAACTAAATTATAATACGAAAATATCTACTAGCTTCGTATATCAGAGATACGAAACTAATTTTATTGTTGGGTGGTTGCTTTACACGGGAGGCGTAGTTATTTAACTAAAATCAATAGAGACGAGTCCCGTTAGTATAGACTGTCCCTGTATAAACAGAGATCTTAATTAAGTATACTCTTTATTGTGATCTACCGAACAACACAAAAGACTCGATAATCAACAGTATAATGAATGAAACTTTCAAATAATAATAAATCTGTGAATATGCAGTGAAATTTACGCGGGGTCAAATTTTCGCCTTTTCTATAACTGCCGCGAACAAGCAAAAATTAGACACACACGAAAAATACCCGATACACGGTATTCGTATTTTTTAAACCGAAGTACCTAGCTACTTTCAGTTCACCAGCAAATATATCGACATAGTGGTAGTTATCTGATTTCAAAGATGAAAAATATAAGCTTGAGAGTCTTCAATATCGCATATTAATTTTGAGTTTTTTTTCATATTTTATTTTTATCATCCTCATATGCCACATTGTCATGGTTGTTGGTTGTTTGGTCGATACTTTTTGTCCCCTGTTCATCACATGTTCTTCTGTGTTCACTGTTTTGTTCAACAATTTCCTTATTTTCCTCAGAACAACTGCTTTTTGTATTCATCTCTACGGATAAAGATAATTGTATATTAGTGTAACCTAGTAATAAATTTTTAGTTTGTTCCCACATTACGTCATTTGTTTTAACAAATTGGTATATGTTCATAAAAGTAGATGTTTTAATCGCCCGAATTACAGATATGTGTAGGGCAAAAACCTCAGGTCATATTTCTACAGGTTCGTTTGATTATCTTCAAGATTATCATGTTGATATTCACGTTGGTTGCCTTTCTTCTAATATTTTCGTAGTTTGTTTTAAAGTGTAGGAATTTACTGTAAGAGGGGGGGGAATCTTAACTGTACTTTTTTCCTAAAATTTTAATCTACATGACTCGTTTAATTTATAGAACTTTTGCATTTTTATTTTAACCTCTAAAAATTGAAATCTATCTACAACAAAAGCAAGGTAAACACAATGTTCCCTGTTCGTTTAATACATCTGAATGTAGGACATTCTTGTCTATTGTAACCCGCAACTAATTCTAGAATATCTGTGCAGAATTTATAGAACAAAATACCATGTTAAGACTTTGCGTTTTATACCTGATAGACACACTGAATCAGATGAACAATATAGTTTCCAATACCAAACTGAATTATAAGTCTTTCTATTTTCTATTTTACATGTGAAGCAGGATCTGCTAACCATTCCGGAGAACTTGAGACCTTTTTTTTGTTGGAATTCATCTTGATCAGTCTTAAGTTTCTATGTTGCGTTTTGAAGACAATTGATTGCGTTTGTCTTTTTATCGTTTTCGCCATGGCTTTGTCAGTTTGTCTTCGACTTATCAAGTTGAATACCATTTGGTATCTACCGACTTTCCTTTACTTATCACACCAACCTTGTGTCTCATTGTCGAAGCGTATTTTGTCTTCTTCTCTGTCTTCACTGTTTGCATCACTGCATTCGTTGATGGTCAAAGAACAACTGGATGTTTTCTTAATATCTACGAGTAAAGCGTAGTGTATAAAAATATATAAAAGAAAAACATTTTCCGTTGTCTCAACCGTATCGTGATTGATTTAAGCAAACTCATATTATTTCGTGAAGGCAATGATTTCTATTTGCAGCATTATAACCATTACAGGAATTTTTAGGGCACAAACCTCCTGTCGTATGTGTCTGATTCATTTGCTCTTTTAACTTCATTCAACCACCCTTTTATAAATATATATAAGCTTGGAATTTTGTCAGGTTCGTCATCTGTATATTCACGTTTTAAGTGTAACGTTCAAATTAAACTTGAAGTGAAATTGTGTAAACCAGAAGTACCCACTTATCTCTCAATTTTTAGCAAAAGTATAAAGAAACGATATATTATTTGAATCAGCGTAAATTGAGCTATCATCTGACACTAGAATATACATTTTAACCCGGAGGTGAATATTTTTCTATCACAATATGTGATTTGGTGTGGAAAAGCCTTCAGTTTGTCGCTAAACGACTGTTTTTTAATTGCTTAAAGTTTTCTTTTAAAACTATAAAAGTCTGAGTGTATAAAACTTAAACACACGCAATTTAAAAGCAAAGTTCTTTGCAAATCCAAATCCTTAACTTCTTACAAATAATCATTTTGTTTCATATAACTTCCATTATCAAATCTAAAACATCTTTACAGAATTCTATGCCAAAAAATAAGGTATGGTCTTTTTATGCTGAGTTTACCTAATTTACAGGATAAAATTGCAAGTTTGATAGTCTTTTCCTTCTATGTGTTTTTAGTTTTCAATACCAGATTCGTTGACGATCTCGTCATATTTGGGTCTCTTAATTTCTATGAGAAACTAGAGGCTATAAAGAGCCTGTGTCACTCACCTGCATCTTCAACCATGGCCATTTTTGTTAGTAAAAAATCAGCATTAAAGGGGAACAACTCTGTTTAGAGTTAACTGACAATTTCAGTAATATTGACATATTTGTAGATCGTATCTTGTTGATAATTTTTCCTTTTCAAAGTTTCTATTTACCTATTATAGTTTTCAAGATCATAGGCAAAAAATGCAAAAAATTGTAAAAAAATTACCTTTTTTTTTGTTGGAATTCATCTTGATCAGTCTTGAGTTTCTATGTTGCGTTTTGAAGACAATTGGTTGCGTTTGTCTTTTTATCGTTTTCGCCATGGCGTTGTCAGTTTGTCTTCGACTTATAAAGTTGAATACCATTTGGTATCTACCGACTTTCTTTTACTCATCAGACCAACCATTGTCAATTAAAAACAGTTGTTTAGCGACAAACTGAAGGCTTTTCCACACCAAATCACATATTGTGATAGAAAAATATTCACCTCCGGGTTAAAATGTATAGTCTTGTGTCAGACGATAGCTGATTATAAGTTTTCATTGATACTTATTTCTATTGGAAATCACTTTTGTAATATAACTACGTTTAACACGCAAGTGTAGAAACTACATCTAGAAAGAAATTTTACCCTTTTATTAATATTTTCATTTAAATTAATCTATTTATATTTGATTTAATAGACGACTTATGAAAAGCATTGATTAATTTACTTTGATTCACTGCATTCAAATCTAGCATTAAATTGTAACAACGATTAATTAACATTTTTGAATCGTACCATATCTTTGTATCTTCCTGTGTATATATTTTCTCTTGTTGTATACTACTAATACTAGTATTACTACCATCAAGATTATAAAACTTGCAATCAGAAAGAATACGTATTGGTTGGTATCTAAAACAATACATTTTAAGATTGATTAAAAAATGATAGATCAATGCATTGCTTTCTATCGACCAATAATTGTATATAAAGGGAGTGTGTTGTATGTATATTCAACAACTACATATGACTTCGGTGTCCTTTCTTTTTCATTTCGAACTAGCACTTATAATATATTCAGCACAAACATATGATTTTGATTTTCTTGTTTGTAGTTTTTTACTTCAAAACATTACTGGGTTTAAAAGCTCAGTAACGTTCTTGTTAAAAATCAATATTTTGTTATTTCTTACAATAAATAACAACTCAGCTAAGGCAAATTAAATATTAAATGTAATTTATTAAGACTAATTTTATAAGATATTTCAGTAACTGTAATACATGTATGATAATAATTTATATTTAACAGTTGTATGTATAAAACATTAACGTGACGTGAATATGCCAGCTGACAATAGAATGTCGAGGGTTGACCCATTAAAAAAGGAGTCATCTAAAAAAATGACTCTAGTTGTTGATTTAATCTAAACAAAAGCTTTTCTTACATTGCTGCAAATCAATACAAAACAATGTTTAAGCAAACAGTTGTAAGTGAAGGTCTTTCCACCTTTTCTGACATGAATTGATTATTTGTTAGTTGGTTGGTGAATTAATAAAATGAGTGACACGTTATTTATATCAATTGGTAGATTGTATGGTTTAGATGGTTATTTGGTAGGTCGATTGATTGATTGAAATTATGCATAATGTCAAGTTTGACGAATTTCACATTCATTGATCGATTGATTTTTTTATAGCTTTGGTTGGTTGACCTGGTTGATTAATTGATTAGGTTATTGATTGAAAGTTTGCATAACGTCAAGAGACGCATATTGCATATAGATCAATTTATTCATTGGTGACGTGTGCAGGGACAAATAGCACATTATTTATATGAAATTACTTCCCCTCTTCGATAAAATTCACGGGACCGCTTGTATGCACATTTATGTGTGCGTAGTGTTACATAATTGTACGACAGATTTTAAGCATAATTGACGATTGTAGATTGTTTGTTTACAAGAATTAACAGGTGAAGGTCATGGGTCATTTAATTTGGATCAAATCTGCAAATAAAAAGATAGGCCAAAATGTTCAAGGAAACCAACATTTCATAGTACAGTAATTTACCGTTTTTATCAATATCCAAACTGCCAAAACCTTGTTTAACAATAAATCAAATATACATCAAATATAGTAGAAACCACATTTATATTTACTACGCGGTCCTTCACAGTTTACTCATTCGACTACATTAGTGCAAGTTGCATAAAGAAAAGAACCGATAACGGGTTTTACAATAATTTCCTTATACGTATACATAGCTTAAGAATAAATATATTGACAGATAGTAGTATCAGAGATTTGTAGAGTAATATATAGAAAGTAAATATTAGAACAATAATGATATTAATTACAGCTAGCTAAATATTCCCCTGGATATTTAGTAATCAATGTAACAGGGATACTTGTTTAAATGCTAAACATCAAGTATATTGTTGAACAGCAAGGTGTACAATAAAGGAATTTTAGGAGTGCAAAAAATGAACACCACGGGACCGGTCCTCTAGGAACAAACGAAAAAAGAAATACAAGGTAATTCGGATTCAAATATAGTAAGAAGCATACAACAAAATTTAACAAAAGTTTTGTGATATCTGTCTCACAGATGACAGTTAGTATGTTCCGTTCCATTTTTCACGTTTTTTTTTTTGACATCACCGAATAAAAATAATCACCATACTAATACTTGCATGAGTCACATGTTGGGGTGCCACACGTGGAGCAGCTTACCCTTCTGGATTACCTTCGTTCATTCCATGGTTTTTGGAGGGTGCAAGGTGACCAGTTTCTAGTTTTCTATGTAGTGGGTTTTTTTTTTATTTGTTCGTCTTTTCGTCGTTTTTTCTCTCGAATTTTTGCCATGGCGTTATCAATTTTTCATCGACTTATGAGTTTTGAATGTCCCCTTGGTAAATGCGCATCTTTTTTACGATTCGGGTCCGATCTCCCAATTAATTAAAACAAAATGCACACACGACAAATAAATAAAAAAAAATAATTCCAGGGTTCCCTTGATAGAAAATTAAATTTATTTAGAAAGATACAGCGAAATTATTTTGTAGGGGATGTTAAACTCTTGCATGTCCAAATTGAAATTTATAAGGTAACATTGAAGATTGTGTTTTTAAAAGGGAGAGGTGTTGGAGGGGGATTATGCCCGTAACTGTCCTACAGACCAAACATGTGTATTTTATCGGGAAAAAAGTCCCCTCGCTGACTCATAATTTGTATCAAGGGAAAAACTTTTAACATTCTCTGAAAAATATTCGTCACTAAACGTCTCTCAAACAATCAATTAATCAATCAATCAATATGAAAAAGGCCTTCATTTACGTTTAATCAACCAATCAATAAATCAATAAACCAAGCCAACTAGCTTATCAATAGATTGATAAATGTGAAAGTTCGGCAAAATTGACATATTGCTAAATTTCAAATAATCAACTACTAGTAACCTATCTTCAAACTATCCATACCAACCAACTATCGGTATCAAGAATTATCACTTGGTGTTCTACAAACATTTTATTAACTGATTTACCAACAAACCAACCAATCATCCAATTATCGTGTTAGAGAAGGTGGAAAGACTTACCCATAATTGTTTTATATTTAATGATATCAATTTTAGACAGCTATTGTTCACCGAGTAAATAGATAACTGTATTCATACTTTTGAGATGATCCCTTATCTGAATGTCTCAACTTTTGACTCTTGGCTTTCAATTGTCAACAGTTAACATATATCTAACATGTCTAATACAAATCATGTTAACTTGAGTCATTTGTATCAAAAAGGTGCAATATTGAAAGTTGTATATATACAAAAACTGTTATGTATGTCTTATTTTTAATGATATGTTTAAACATTCTTGCACCGATTACATTATTGTTATTGTTATTTATAAAAAAAAATGTCACGAAATTCGGTCAAATCCTGGATATGCGGAATGCGTACATCATCTATACTGCGCATTATAAATTTATATAAATCATGTGCACACTCTGTTGTTGACTATACAGCTAGCTATCTGTTACCCAGTTAAATTTTTGGTAAAATTTCATAAGACGCCGAATGTACAAAGTAAAACCTTTTTACGTGAGTTTGTTTTTAAGGATAAATATGATAAATACTTAATTCTAATAATAGAAAAACTATATGGTCGGAAGCTACCAGTATGGTACTTGTTAATAACAAAACCATTTTCAGCGTCTTAGCTCATGAAATAGTACAACTGCAACGAAAACATGACAGATAGTTTTTTTAAAAAGGATTTCTAAAAATTACCAAAACTAATAAATAAATGTCTTGTATGCCGTATATGTATTCGACAGGTTGAATCGATATCAATATTCATGAGGCGACAAATGATTTTTTTACATTTTGTTTGAACTTAAATTTTCATTTTGATTTATTTAGTAAATAATGAAAATGTGATTCATTAATTACTCATTTTATATTATAGAATAAACACAATAGGTTAAATCCTAAAAAGTGAAAAACCGCTACAAAATAGAAAATTAAATTCATATACTTAATCTTATAAATAAATTAAATCATTGTCGAAATTTCTCATTACTTAATTTGTACATTTCCACTTTAAGTTAGATACTACACTTTTTTATTGAATAACCAAAATACTTATAAAATGTACAACACACGAAACATTTCAATTAAAATTAAAATGCAGCAGATTTGTACTTGTTTGTTACTGATTTGAATATTATAATACATTTCAAACTACAAACCTTCACTAGCACCTGTGTGTGAACAGTCTGTTGTGACAGTGATATTTTCTGTAGGTGGACCTTCGCCTTTGTAGTTTTCTGCAGACATTTGTATCGTATATTTCTCACATTCATTCAGATTTGTCAGTTCAAAAGTTTGTATTTCATTGTTCGTATCAGTTTGGTTTATTTTAAGTAATTGCCACTCGGGGTGATCATTCCTCACGAATTTCAATATGAACGTTAAATTTTGTTCAGTTCTAAATTCTTGGATCCATGCAATCAAACACTTTGTTTTGGATATTTGTATAACTCTTACATTTTGTAGTTTTACTGGTGGACCTAAAGTTTAAATAATTGTATCATTTAAAATGCAATTGAATATTTATTAGAGAAACATATTTTTTAGTGTAGGTATATAGTTGTCGGTTGAACTAATGAAAATTATGAATTAACTGAATAACAGTTTTCAACTTTCTACAAAAAAGTTGACTATTTTGATATTTTTACTAAAAGAAATAGTTCTTTGACAAGGACTTCCAAAGGTATAGTATGCTGTACTACACACCTTTCCTTAAACTTACCTGAACAATCTGTTGAAGCAGTGATATTTTCTGTAGGTTTACTTTTGCCGACATCATTTTCTGCATACATGTGCAATGTATATATTTGACATTCAGTCAGACCTGTTAGTGTAATATTTTGTGGATTGGTCGACATGTTCAGTTGGTTTATTTTTACTGATGTCCATTGGATTTCTACATTCGTTGCATATTTCAAAACAAATACTTGATAGGTTCCGTCGTGTATTCCAGGCTTCCATTCAATTTGTAACTTTGTCTTCCACACTTTTGTGACACGTAACCATGAAGGTCTATCTGGAAGACCTATAATTAAGATAAACAATACAAAATTATATATCAAGGAATGGATGGAGTGTTTCTAATTTATAAATGATTGTTTAACTGTGGAATCAGCTGCGGCAATTGATTTCAAACTTTGGTGAATAATAGTAACCATTTGTTCGGCTTTTTCTTTCGATTACTCTTAAACTGTTGTCAAACTAAACAACAGCTTTGATAACAATAAAAGTATAAAGTTTAACTTTATATTCTAGTCAGTCATTATAGTTACAAAATGTATCTCATCTCAACACTTAATGAAGCAACACTGACTGTCTGAATATAAATCGTAAGTGCACGGCAGAAAATCTTTTTACAATCCCTTTTGTATTCATACATCTTTAGTTTTGTTCAGTTGCCAATTGTTTTTTAATTTGTATCAGTACAAAGGGTATGTCAAATGTAGTAACCCCTCCAGAGAGCACTAAATATTACTATGATAGAAATAGTCAGTCAAAACGGATCTATATCATTTCTACTTTTATTGATGCCATAATGAGTTGGTGGACATTTTATAGCTGATGGGTCAATTTGAAAGTAGGACACTGATTTCAATATACACGATGTTTTTTTCTGTAACAAAAATTTCAGTATCATGAATATGTCATACAGATTTCAGTATGAACGATAATATTTCTTGGATTTAGATTTTCAAGTACGCTCGATACCCAAAGGGATATTTCTTTAACACATTTGATTCGTTTTTATTCCGTCCTATTACAGAGTCGAATAATTACTGGTTGTGTCATTTAGCAAATTAACGAGTACTAAATGAGGGTTTGGACATGTTTGCCCTTTTGGAGAAAATTTCCATTTTTAAGATAATCCATATTAAATAGATAAAAGCAAAATGCATACTGTTTTGCCAAAGTTCATACCAAAAATAGTCGGATGAGTTTTACATAATCCTCCAGGCTTCTGTTTGTATCACTAAGTTTGATAGTAAGTTATTTCAATGGAAACATATCTAAATGAATGTGTCCTGTATTGCTATATGTTTGAATTTTCCTTGGAGTTCGGTATTTTTGTTATTTTACTTTTTATCACACCTTTAAGTACAAACCTTCAACTATATCGTCATTGAAATAACCTGTTGATACAGTAAGTATTTTTGTGGGTTGACTTCTTCCAAACGAGTTCTCTGTGCACATTCGTATGTTATATATTTGACTCTTATTTAGCCCAGTCAGTTCGAAACTTTGTAAATCACTTTGCATATCTGTTTCATTTACTGGAACACTTGCCCATTGTATTTCATCATACTTTCTGAATTCTAGTACAAAGATCTGTGAATTGTCTCCGCTGAATCTAAACATCCATTCAATCAAAAGTTTCGTTTCAAACGTATTGATAACACGTAACCATTTTGGAATTTCAGGAAGATCTACAAATCAAATAATTGCACTCAATATTCACAAATATATCATACGAGTATTGATAGATATTGTAACCTTTGTCGCTATGGTATCGCCTCTTATTATCTTCTATTGAATATACTTAAATATAAAGATAAGGAGACGTGATATGATTGCCAATGACACAACTATTCATCTGAGATCAAATGACGTTGCTATTAGCAACCATAGGTCACCATACGGCCTTCCTCAATGAGCAAAAACTATAATATATAGTCAGCAATAAAAGGTTACCGCTTTATATATCTTAACTATTCGACCTATTGTATACCCTACATATTAAAAAGACAAACGGTTTATTTCAAGCTAGTTAAATTATAGATTCAATGTGTTTGCAGTATGCACTTTTGCCATTATTTGAACAAACACTGTCAAAGGAACAGTGAAGATGATTTTTTTCCACACTGTTGGTGAGACTTGAACAGAATATATCAATTCGTTTTCATTCTTCATGAAATCATTTTCAAAATAATTCTTTTGGAGCATATCACTGGTTGAATTGTTTTTCCGTTCTGATTGATGAATTTATGTATTTATGTACATTAAACATTAATTAATTGACGAGAATTTGAACATCGGTAAACTATGTGTCTTAGCTTTTTGGCATACTTAAATAATTAAAAATTCTGATTTTAAATTAAGTCTCTTTGCTTAGTTTTAATAAAATGAAATTCCATACGTATATGAATTAGGTTGCTTACACATATATGGGATGCGATCTGTCAAACTAAAGTTGTCATAAGTATATATAGGTACACCATTGCTAAAAAATATTAGTAATATGACAAAACTTCATTCAGTTAAATGCACAAGGAAGCTATTTGAAAAAAATGCAAAACTTACTATAAAGAATATTGAATTTCCTAGAAACTTCAAACAGTGTCGTGTTCACGTCGATCGACTGTAGACGAAGTCAATTTTCTTGAGAACAAACGGTTTTGCATAAAGTTTTACTACGAATAACAGGTGTCTCGGGTTTGCCTTGATTTGTCTTTTCTTACTCGATTTATGAGATTTGAATATCGTTAAACTACTTTTGCCTACATTAACTAAAAGTTCTACTAGTTTTTCAAAGTTAATCCACGACACTCGTCTTAAGGCTGTTTAAAAGACGAGTGAAGTTCTATCTATGGTATGAGCAATTTCTTGATTTGCTTCTTTGTGAGTGTTTGAAACTTGACCCTACAGTTTACTTCTACTTACATGTCAGGATTTAAAGATACATAATTTTTGGAACGACATACGGTGCCCATCCAGGCACAATGGGGATCTTTTATACAGTTATCAATCTTTATGTACTGTTCACAGTTTATCACATTTATTTGTCGCACTGAATAGTCTGTTCCAATTAGTAGAAAGTCTCCCTGTAATATAATTTTCAATAACTATAGCAGATTACATACGCATGAAACTGATATCGATGCATACGACGTGTGTTTTCGGTGTGAATATGAAGAAATCTTGCACAATAGTTTGTTTTCATTATACATATTTTTCATATAATTACTATAACTGTGAAGTTTCACCTTTTTTTTTAATAAATGTCATCAATGAATCACTGTTATTTGTAATTCAGAATCTATTTTACAATTATAACTCCTTTTAAGAGCTAACAATATTGTGTATACAGTGACCTAATTTATTATTAGAGATATTATGTTTGCTTTTGGGTGTCAACCAGTTTTTGTTGTTTTGTTTGTTTTTGTTTTTTTGGAGGGTGTTTACTGTTACACTTTTTTTTAATGTCCATTTTCTTTCTTTAATAATGTTTATTTTTATTAATGTTTTTTTCCTCTTATAGTTGATGTGTTTCCTTCGGTTTTAGTTTGTAACCCGGATTTATTGCTTAATCAAATTATGACTATTGAACAGTGGTATACTAATATTGCTTTTATTCATAATTGAAAATATTAAACTTACAAAATTGACTAAAGACCAGATGGCTTCATTCTTTGCTAACGGTGAGTACATATTTGACACGTAAGTGTTTTCGTTTGTCGAAAATAATTTATAAACCTTTCCATTACCTATATAATAAGAAAAAAACAAGTTGTTTTACTTGTAAACGAACTGGGGACATATAATAATGATATCGGTGATCATTTCTACAAAGCAGGACATAGATTTCTTGTTCAATCCCATAGAAATTGGTTTGCTTCAGTCGTGGTATTCGGACTTGCCTTGGTATAACCATCGTTCTAACATGATATCTAAAATAAGATGCTAATTTAGTGTAATCGGATTATTTTCTAGATTTTGAGAGCTGAATAGTATATTCTATTTCATTTTTGTTAATTCTTTTTCTTGTACATTTTGCAAAACCTTTTAATCGAAAAGTGTATGCTGAAAATGAAAAAAAAACAATTTTAATTAACACATATCTTCCAGAACCTGAGGGTTGTTAATGCATTTGTATTAGTAAGCCGATGGCTGCCTTGTCTCATTTACATTTTCAATGTGCATCTTTTTTTATACATACTTGAGCCTGCATAAAACACAATCTCCGTCATATTTCTGTGTAGTTCTAATTTCTGTAGATGATCATACAAGACAAAGATTGGCTTCCCATACAAAGGCTTAACAGATTCGTACATTAGCGGATGGTTGGCAATGAAGTTAAGAACATCTTCACTTTGAGCCATAGAATCATTTATACACTGAAAAACAAATTGAACATTTGTTATTTTTGTCATTGAGTATAACGTTTCTTCAAATGCAGTTTTACTGGCGACGCGTAGCGGAGCCAGTAAACCGGATATTAGCGACCATCAAATCCAAATTGACGGCGGCAACTCTTCAACTACAGTACTGTTATTCCGTATGTATACTGATTGTTTGTTTTTCATACCTTGAAGAAACGTTATTCTCAATTCGCATAAACTTCATGGCTTAACATGACACCATACACATGAAAACTTCATGGCTAAACATGACGTCATACACCTGAAAACTTTCAAACTAAAGGTTGTTACGTTACTTCTTCGAATCAAATTTGGATAATATCACATCAAAACTGCGTTTTGAGTTGAGTGTTGTTTTATTGTCGATTATATTGTAGTTATCGATCATTTGTTGATTCAAACAATTCGATATGGCTGCTAAATTTATAGTTATAACATGTCAGCTGTGGATCTGATGGTAAAATTTAGAAAATGTAAAATAATATGTATTCATGTTTTCTTTTTCTTTTTTCTTAGTCAAAATTGGTTTCCTCTTTTAGCCGATTTGTTACAACATACGTCATTCTCGTGTGGCTTAGAGATCAAAAGTTCACGGTTTCCGACGAAAGACCAAAATAGTTTTCAGTTCATTATATTAATAATGATCATCGATACACACAGAAGAGGCGTGATTGCTTATGTCATAGTGCATTTCATCTTACGGATATACTTATATAAAAGTAAAAAATTAGTTGTGTTCAAATATATTAAAAAGGCTTTCAGACATTCATTTTGAAATGTGATATTATTAGTTTTAAATCATTTCCTTGCCATTTTAAGTTGAACCATACCATGACCCCAAACATGGGTTTTTTTATCTGTCTAAATATAATATCTTGTATTTATCAAGTTTATGCTAGAAATAGTTGACGTTTAAAGAAAGGTATGATTTCAGCTTCTCAATTGACATACCAAAACATACCAGCCTCTCCGGGACATGGAGTATATATCCCCTAGTTAATATGATGTAACAGAGCTTACTTTTCCTATTATGATTTCCTTGCCATATGTCATTTATTTTCGTCTACTTTTTTTTGTCGGTGCGTTGATAGTTTCTGTGCTAACGCTTTTGTAACGATCAGCATAACCGTTTGATAGATCAGTATTATACTACGTTTATGTCTCAACTTGAGGTCAATGCTCATGATCATTTAGTTCATTCAATTACTCAAAATGTCAAGCAATATTGTAAAATTACCGTAAAAATAAACATTGAAAACAAACTTACCCTACCAGGTCTTGGTTGTGGTATATTTTTGGCCTCTGTCCAAAATGAATTTGGTGTAACCTGGGTCTTAAATGGCCCATTAAATATAGCTTCAATGTCAAGGGTGTTAAAGGCACAAATAACGGAGACTGGTGACTTGATTCTAAAAAGGTAACAAGTATTTACAACATACTTGCAGAAATAATTACGGCCTTTAACCCCTTTACTTAATATTACTAGAAATGCATGTATATTTGCATATTGCATATATTTATTTTATCTAGATTTAAGTCATCATCACGGAATAGTTGCATATACAGTCGCTGCTACCAATCAAAGTATTCATTCGGTCGGCTATTGGTTTAACAAATGTTTATCAATTGTTGATATTCATTGATAAAGAGAAAGATAGGAAACAACAAAATCTTTTTCTGAAAGTTGAAAACAACTCCTGAGTTTGAAATAAAATGAGATATGAATATAATACTTTTTGTGCGTCTAAAATATATAGTCGAGACGCTTGTTGATGGAAAGGATTGACAGTTTAAACATTCTAACTATATATAACATAGTAAGTACTTCTTTTAATTGGATTGGTTTCGTGCTCTGATAAAGTTATTGTTTTGTGTGTTATGCCCTCGCCGTAGGCGACTGGGGTATTAAGTGTTACCCTTGACCATCGTCCTTCTGTCCTTCAGTCCGTCCGATTTTCGTTTCTGTACTCAAGTTTAAGTTTGCCTAATGCAAATTGTATGCAACTCATACACAATGCTGAGAACCAGAACTGGCAGACAGAGTTCGAATTTAGGCAGTGAGTCGCTTACCGTTTTATAGTTATGCCATTTTATACCTTGGAGAATTGCAATTTTTTTCGTGTCCGCACTCTTACTTAAGTTTGCCTCATGCAAATTTTATGAAACTAATACACAATGTTAAGAACCAAAACTCGCATAGGGACGTCGAATTTGGGCAGTAAATCGCTTGCCCTTTTTGAGTTGTGCCCTTTATAACTTGGGAAATTGTATTTTATTTCGTTCCCGCACTCTTTCTTAAGTTTGCCTCATGCAAATTTATGAAACTCATTCACATTGCTAAGTAACACAACACGCTGACAGAGTTCGAATTTGGGCAGTGAGTCATTACCGTTCTAGAGTTATGCCCCTTTGAAACTTGGGAAATTACAAAGCTTGAGCGGGGACATTCGTGTCCTCAGACACATTCTTCTTTTATTTAACAAGAACTGCATATCATTGCGATCCATTCTTTTAAAAGACAAAGATTTATTATTGTTTTGGATTGTCTATAAGTTTTCCATTTTCGTTATTGATTGCACTTTTACTATTTTTAGTTGAGCGCCACTGGTGAGTTTACTCTCCTAGAACCCGATATCGTTGATGAGTTTTATCAAGGGTAACATTACGCTTGCTAATCTTTACTTGCCTTGTCGTGAACAGGCCATAGATAACGCCATCTTTTTCAACAATGTCCTCTGAAATAATATAGAAAAGATACAATTTTTCATTGATTTGCCAAAAATAACATTTAAACCACAAAATGTGTATATCTTTAAAAATTTACTATTTAAATGATTTGTCATATCAATAAATTTGCAGCTTGCTAAGAGTGCTAATTTCTGAATTGAAAAAGCATAATGTCATTGAGTAAGACTTGGTGTTCCATATTAAATTTAGCAATAGTTCCAATCAGGTAAAAACACAGCACGAGAGACAAACCTTGTTAATATGATGTAGTATACATACGTATGTCATCAAAATAAACTGGCGAATTTCCTTCAGTGAAACACTGGAGTCTGGCTTTTTGATAACTTGTCCATTTATTCCTTAAAATTGAATTTCCTCCAATATCAGACTACAAAATGAAAGATATGTTTAGTCAATTTTATCGGGAGGTTTCCGAGACAAGTTACCTAATGAATACAAACGACAAGTATGATTTAAAGAAGTTATTATGTTTCATCACCTGACTTGAACTTTTCGTTTGTTTCAATATTGATATTTTATACTTAAAACAATTTTGGTGATAATAGTTAGATGATTACAAATGGGTATAATTCTTATCATACCTGAATATAATTCACCAAAATCACATGCATGTGACCATTTAGTAAATGCACGTTTTAAAAAGTGACCAATAATACTCCTACACGTCAGCTAAATTGTTGCACTGATCCATTTAATTACAATATTTATTAAATAAAATAATCAGTTTTGTAATTCATGTTAATAAAATATCTAAACTTCTACAATTTAAGCAATGAACTTAACTAAAGTTTGATATGGATGAATAAGCATTTTCTGCTGCATATGAAGCATCCTTCATGTCGTTAAGTAGTCACATAGACTATGTATATGATCGTGTATACTGGTGTTTGTCTTTTGGTCGTTTTTCAGTTTTTTTGTTTTTTGCCATGGCGTTGTCAGTTCGTTTTCGACTTTTGAAATTGAACGTCCCTTTGATATCTTTCGCCTCTCTTTTGTTTTAGAACCGGAAACATATAGAGATATCTTATTTCATCAGTTTTGGTCTAAACGTTTTAATTTGTAACGGTCCAGCATATTCTTTTATGTAGTCCATATGAACAAGCCAACATAACAGACCAAATTTGGACGAGATAGATATTTTGTACAGGTTTTTATCGTTTCGATTTGTCTATTCTAGAGCCATATCTTATTTCAATATTTCTGTTTATGGTTGGTGGAACTTATTGTACTTTATTTCATTTACCAGTACTTAACGTACCTTACAAACCTTTGCAACTCTCGAGTAAACTTTGTTATTGTGTTCAGAAGGATCAACTTCAGTAGCCGTTTCGCGGAAAAAGAAAAGTACTGATTCTTTTAAGGAGAAAGACCCGACAAATTGGGGATCTGTAAAAAACGATATAAGTAGTAACTTGGGTTTTGAATTTAAAATGACAAACACCAAACTTGAGACGCATATTAGATATTTTACTTAATTCAGTTAATTTAATTTAATTTTCTTTTTCGTTTTTGTTTGTTTGTGTGTTGTTAATTTTGTGGAGCTTTATGTTTTTTAGAGGAGTAGATAACTACACTGTTGCACAAGAGGCAGTAGCTGTACAATAAATGCCTTTCACATCAGGAAAATCATATTGGTATCTAGATGGTTTATTTAAGTGAAAAGCACTGACTACCAGAAAATGGTGCACATTTCAATGAACAATGCATCGGCACAAGCACTAGTTAGGATTACTAGCATTCACAGAAAGTCATTGTGATGTAAGACTTTTAAGTATAAATTCAGTGAATACAATATATTCTTGTTAACGTTCAGTGACAAATATGTCATGCATATTAAGAAAGAGAACACATTTACTGTAAATTTAAATCAAAAATTAATTGGTCTGCAAAGTTAGTCGACTGGGATGAAGGACAGAAAATTTAGAATGAATAAAAGCCTATTATTGTTTATAGTTATTGTGAATATCAACTGCTTAACACAATATGAGGCTTTTGAGCTCTTTCACTGCGCCTAATTACTAAAAGCTCCATATTGTGACTCATAGCTGATATCTTATAGTATTGTTAATGTACAGTTAAACTGATAATCGGGGTACTTATACATCCCGCATAGCAAAACAGACGACCCTTTTTTGCATGAGTTTTAATGTTAATGGAAGATGGGATGAGAAGTCCAGGGATGACCAAATTGTATACCGAATATAAAATAAGGAGATATGGTATAATTGCAAATGAGACAACTATTCACAAGGGCCAAATGACGTAGATGTTAGCAATTATATGTCACCATATGGCCTTTAATAATGAGCTAACCCGATACCCCATAGCAGGCTTTAAAAAGCTCCAACATAACAGAAATTCAAACGAGAAAACAATCGGCCTGATTTATGTACAAAACAATAATAACAAAGTCAGCTTTTGGTGTTTTTCAATGCCGAACAGAAAGTATTGATCGAGTATTAAAGTAATTAAATAATAACATGGTTCTTAGATATATTCAATAATTCAAATGAGTAGTACAAAGTATGGATAATATTACTTGTCGTTTGCATAAATTTTCATCTAAATGCATAATATGGCCCTAAGTCAAGTTAACTCCCGCGGTATAACGGGCGTTTAGTATAACGTTTTAGTATTTGCATACTGAAAAAACTATTAAATAAAAACATCCAGATGATTTTTAGGGTTTCATATTTATCTATCTCAAATTTTCTGTGTAGTTTTTCCTGTTATTTGTCTTCAAATTTAATCTATTTTTTTTATCATATTATTACTTTCTTTTTGAAATATCCCACTAAGGGCATATTTATATTTCAAATGTGTAAGCAAAGAAAAGAATGCGCTATGGTATTATGAACGGAAAGAGGTAAACTCAAGGATACGGCCGCGATAAAACATTTTAAACTCACGGATGGTACTCTCTGGTACTGAAAGACCACACGCAGCGGTACCGACAAATGAATTATACTATTAGCTTTTATATGATGTCCGTGTGGACGAAATGTGATTTCGCACATGTGCTATTTTAAGGGTAAACAAATAATTGATTCCACTTAATTATATATAATTAATAGTTACCTTTCATCCAGTTAGAGCTGATGACACCTTTTTGGTACTCACTGACCGTCCCGCCACTATTATAGATTGGTCTAGATATTGTCGCTTCAGTATGTAACGTGGCACCATAATACATAATTCCTTTGCCATACTGATTAGGATCTCCTGTAAAAAAATGAACTATGACTCGATGATTGAATTTTTTAATGCAATATAATGACAATTACGATACCGTCGTCTCTTATTCCACATACTGTAGTTTCAACATTGTTCATTATATATCTGAGATTGTACTGTACGTGTACTCTATAAGAGTCAACTTCATTCAAACTGATATAAATATTATTAATACTTTCATCACAGGCCTTCGATCTATAATTAGCCCCGACAGTTTTCCAGGGTATGAAAATTGAACGGAGTTTCTCTGACTGTAGCGGCGACTCTCCGCCTGTGGCTTTCTTGGTTTGCACAATTATAAATAGCAGTCACGTCCAGGCAGAATAGAGATATTCGTTCCGCTTCCCCGTATAGAGACCGTACCGCGCTCTGCATATTAAGGAACCCTGCAACAACTGTATGAGAGATCTGTAGGCGACATGCTGCGAACATCCAATATTCCCTCTTTTTCCAGTGACAGTCCACATTGTCCCCGTCCTTTATCCCGGTTGAACCACTATGCAAAACCTACAAGCTGTACATGGTGTACTGTATTTATTGTTTTCAGTTGGTGTTTTGTCCTGACTAAGCAAACAATTAATCAGTCATACTATTCCCGCTATGAAATCTTTGTTGAATGTTAATTTGATATGTCCAATCCCCAACCCACTTTATACATTTTCACGAGTAATTTTTACCCAAGAGCTACGTTTACCTTGGAAGATTGCAGTCAGTTATCAAAAATCAGGAAACAAAACCCGTTTCCATCTTATTTTGTTTAATAAGAATAATGTTGCGGCTTTTATGTAATAATACATTTGTACATAATGTAATTGGAAAAAACATCCCGGATGATAACCGGTATAATATTATTGTATTATAAACATGGACTTCGTATCTATGTAATACAATTGAGTAATTGTAGTGTGTTCCTTTATAGAAATGCAATATGACGTCAACTTTGGCATACTCCTACATGTTTAGATTACCTGTAATTGCCATTTTCAGATGGCAAACCAACATATCGAAACAGTCAACACTAACAAAATAAAGTTTAGGGCAATATGAACTTTAAATTAAATCGTGAGTAAAACATGTATCAGGTGGTCCGTAGAATAAACATATCCTGTATCACAACCGACATCCAGTAAGTGATCATGTAAGCCTTATATTAGGTTGAAAGCCGGTAAAAGATATGAAGCACTCTTAGAACTATATCAAATGTCATCAGTTGGCTTAACGATTGACCTACTAGTGCAGGCGACCACAAACTTTGCTGGCAAAGAAATCACCTGAGGGATGAAGATGAAAAAAAATTTACATGACATAAATTTTCTCTCATAAGGAAATCAAAACAGTTGACACAATATTTTGTGAAGCAGATAACAATAATATCTTGATGAGCACTTTTGCTTGAATATATGATGTTATGATGCATATTCATGATCGTTCTTGACAATTTACAGTAATCAATACTGCAAATATCTAATACAATAAATATAATGATCGTTAAAATGCATCATCTTTTCATTTTTACATCATCTTGCTGTTTTGGTCATAATATCTTATTTATATTCCGACATTTGTGTTACTTACTAATATATGTAGTCGTAAAATTATCAAATGGATCATTTGCACATGGAACAGGACCTAAGCTAATATGTGAATTATCTGTGATGTTCAGTTCAAAACCAGTTGGTGAGTCAGCATTGGTTCCGCACAATATGACTATGTCGTCAGTTCTAAACTCAAGGACTCTTATGTGATTTTGGCAATATGGTATCTAAAATGAAATAGATTTGTGAAGGGAAAAATAAATAAGCATTACCACGTTCCATGCTAGTATAGTTTAACATAAGCCTATTGAAGATAAAGCTGATATTGAATGTGTTATATGATAGTTTATATTCCTGTCTTAAAATAAATTATTAGAAGTCTTTTTTTTTATTCTCAATTCTATTTCTCAAACACCAATAGATAGCAAAAGCTCATACTGAGACTATATTTTTGAGGTTTTTGCTGTTAAAATATTTCTTATTGATAATGATTATGCAACTTATTGTTTAAATAACAAACCTTGAGTTTACATCTACCATACATTACCTTTTCCTTCGATAAGGTGCAGTAATTAAGCTTATCCGCATCAGATGGAAACTCTATAGAAGTCTAAGAAAACATTGAATAAAATTAATGCTGAAACAGTTGTATTTCATTTTACTTATGGACTTGTTAGCCTTTTCGTCTTTTTTATTTATTTTTTTCTTCTTTTGAATGTCCCTTTGGTATCTTTTGCCTTTTTTATATTAAAAGTACTATATGGTCTAAATAAAATCGCCATCAATACCTGATTACTATATATGAATGCTGGAATGTCACAATTAAAACTTTTATTGAAATGATTGCTAAGCATTTTAAAAGATGTGTTCAATCGCCAGTAAGTCTAAATATTCAACATAGTTTTACTGTAGTCCATCAAACTTTTATAAATTAGACATCTATACCAGAAACATTCCCGAAAAAAATCAACTTCAAGATATAAACAATAGTTGTATTTGGGTCCTCAATGCTTTTCAACTTCGTACTTTATTTGGTGTGGTAACTGTTCTGAGAGTCACTAATGAGTCTTTAATAGACAACACGCACGTTTGCGTACAGTACAACATTTAAGTCCTGTTATCTATGATGTATTTATTTGATAGTTATTAATAATCTGGACCATGTAGTGTAAGCTGTTGTTTGTACGTCTGTTTTTTGTGTTTCTGATTTTAGTTTTTGTTTTTAGTTTTAGTTTTAGTTTTAGTTTTCAGTTTTTGTTTTTGTTTTCGTTTTTTTTTATCAAATGCACAGAACTCGTAAACTTTCTGTTCATTGAATTGAACAGATAATACAAGCATGTTAATTTATTAAGATAATCCATGGAAATGCATGCAGAACTACAGAAAATTACACGTTCAGGGTTCAGTTTACATAATACAATATTGAATACTTTTTCTCTGCTTAATTTATGTACAAAATGCACAAAATTATATCTTATACGATCAGGAACTCCGATTTGATATTTCTGAATAGCTTTAAATAATTGGTAAGCCTTTGTTTATTGTATATGACGAATTTCATCCTATCAAGACTTAGTGTTACAGATGAACTAAAAGAAATTTCAACAAACTTCTATCTATCTATTTTCCGTGTGAATTATGACCGATTCTAATCTGATTTTAAAACCTTTCTCACCAATTGTGCATTTTCAAAGAGTGTAAGTGGGTCATCAACTGCCAATATATATCTGTTCCAATTACAGAGTGAAAATCCACTGGAGTTCGAATAATGTAATTTATATATTGTAAACAACTTTAAATATTTCGTTAGAGTTTAAAATGCTTTTCAGGACTTAATGTTGCTGTTGAAGACAATATTGCAAATTGTACATGTTTTTGTATCTTTAGTAAAAATTGAAGGAATTTGGGGAAATTAGCCTAGTGTGAAACAAATTCAGTATAACATTGTTATTTTTTTTATATATTGATTTCCATTTGTTTTACATGCGACGTAATATCGCACGATGATAGAAAAATGTATGTACAATTTTCCAAAAGTCGACATACTTCTTAACATATGTGTGTGCTACTCACCGATTTTACTGGAAATCGAGGAATATCTAAAATGTCTACAATACTGATATAATTCCTGTAAAAAGAAGAAGAGTTATATACCTGAGATGAGTTAAACGTCACACAGAGACTTCTCAAGAAGAATGTAATAGAACCTGGCAATATCATTTAACTCCCCTTTCCAATATATGAACGATGTCCTCCCACTGAATAGTTCAAAGTTTGCTGAAAATATTGGGTCAATGTCGACCGCATATATATATATATCCAAGTCTAAATTGAAAACAACGTTCAAACCTATGATTGCGTTGGATAAAAACCGCAATTTTTATATGTGTGCATGCAAAACAAATCTATTGGTAAAGGGGTCTAAATAAAGCACAAACATTTTCCAAAAGATCAAAAAGTGAAAAAGTATATTTTAACAAAACGCATTTGACTAACAGGTCGAACAACGGATGTTCTTTAACACTGCTGACTGCCATGGCGATTGCCAAATAAACGGATCACCAGATGTAACAAAATGGATCTTAATTATTAATGTAATACCAAACAGAAAACAATAAACTTGCAGAAAAGATGGTATACTGCAAACATGAGGTGGAAAAATTGGTACACCATATCCGGATGTCGACAATTAATGTCTCTTCAGTGATGTTAGGAATGGAAACGGTATTCGGAAGGCCATAAAATTTACCTCAATTTAGGATAGACTCTTGAATTTTGAAGAGTCGAAATAGGATGAACGGATAATATAAAACCGGAGGCAAATGTAATACAAGCCCAAACGAAAAAATATAAACAAGTATAAATTGAAAACAACGTTCAAACCTCTGATTGCGTTGGATAAAAACCGCAATTTTTATACGTGTGCATGCAAAACAAATTTCTTGGTAGAGGGATATATATCGATACAGAAAGGTTGACTTCAAATGTTATACTACATACAACTTGACAGTAAGGGTAGCCTAGGTTGAGAAGTAAATTTTGCGACAGATTACTCCAATTTATCATAGTGAAACGTTATATTTCTGTGTAGCAACATTCCAGCAGCACCTGCATATAGAATATATATCCAGATAATGCGTTTCCTATAATGATTACCTGTAAAGAGGTATGCTTCTTACAAAGAAGCTATTTAATCAAGGGTTTTACTGGTTAAGTTGAAGTAATCACATTTTGAATTAGTTCACCGTATAACCCATGTCACAGATGCCAATTTGTTCAACTTGTCATAGCCAGAATCCCGTATTTAGTTCATTGTTTCTGACATCACCAAAGTCGGTTTATATATGGTATAATCGGATTTTACTGTTCATGAGCATTACGAATGATGTAAATAGTGAAGCAACTCAGTTCACATCAGGTTTTAAGTGGGACCCATTTTTTGCTTCTGTGCAAAGCCATTAGTTTCAGACGATATTCACGCCATCTTTAAATTATTCCGTAACAAATATCAGTTCTCATTGGTTGACTTTTGATGTGTGAAAAATTCTATTGGCTAGAATGAGATATAAAATTGGGAACATGTCCCGGACAGGAGAAGGTATTAAATACGGAAAAATAAAGTATGGGTATTCAAGATCCGAGCCAATACCCAATTGCCTTTGCTGGTTTATTCGACAAAAATGAACAAGTTTTTGAGTGGTCATCTTATTACATATTAATATACACCAACACTTAAAATACATATTACTGTATAATAAGAATTTTGTCGGAATATGTGTGATCCATGTTATAAAACCAATTGATATAGAAAAAACAGCACATGATATTCCCGAATGGTGCATTATAATTCTTGTGATAATGATGTGACATAGTTAGGAGGCATCAAATAACAGTTAGTAAAATTGCTGTGTAGAAAAACATGCACGAGGAACAGTATATATATGCAAATAAATATTGCGTCAGAAATAACTCGTCGTGTGAGTGTTATAATGTTGTAAGTCCCATTTTTCTACACTACCAACAATTTGCCTAACGTTTACATGTACATTAAATGCCGCTATATAAATAGTACTTTTAGGAAACATAACGAATCAGTACATTAAATGCCGTTATATAAACAGTACTTTCAGGAAACATAAATAATCAGTACATTAAATGCCGCTATATTTACAGTACTTTTAGGAAACATCGCTAATCAGTACATTAAATGCCGCTATATAAACAGTACTTTTAGGAAACATCACTAATCAGTACATTTAATGCCGCTATATAAACAGTACTTTTAGAAAACATCACTAATCAGTACATTAAATGCCGATATATAAACAGTACTTTTAAGAAACATCACTAATCAGTACATTTATTTTTATATAATTTTTAGTAATGTTGAGATAAAACTGTTTTCAGTACTGAAAATTTCGGTCATTTTTCAGTACTGAAAATTTCAGTCACTTTTCAGTACTGAAAATTTCAGTCACTTTTCAGTACTGAAAATTTCAGTCACTTTTCAGTACTGAAAATTTCAGTCCCTTTTCAGTACTGAAAATTTCAGTCATTTTTCAGTACTGAAAATTTCAGTCATTTTTCCGTACTGAAAATTTCAGTCATTTTACAGTACTGTAAATTTCAGTCATTTCACAGTACTGAATATTTTAGTCATTTTTCAGTACTGAAAATTTCAGTCATTTTTCAGTACTTAAACTTTTTGTCATCTTTAAGATCTTCTACACATACTATATTAGGTCAATGTCAGAAAAATATAAAATGTTTGTATGAGGCTGAGAAACTGGGGAAGGGCGAGGTTTTACTGAGCCCTTCCCCAGTTTTGTGCCGAATACAAAAAAGTTTATATCTTTATGACATTGACCTAATATTGTTTTTATACTGCAACTTAAATTAATACATTGATAGCTTTTTAAATCGTAACTATTATATATTAATAACATAAATATCAAACTTATTTTTATCCCCTAATGAACCCCTGCCTGATTGTGGAGAAAGTGTTCCATGATGAAATTGACATTGCACAAAATATAGAAATCAACGACAACGGAAACCCGCAATAGAACGGTGTTTTAATCTTTTGCTGACGACAACTTCAAAATCTACTCAGGACCAGGATTCTTTAAGGTAAAAAGTTACGAATTATATCAAAGTAGTTCACATTTCATTTGGTTAGTATGGTATGGTGGTCATGAAATTGAATATGGTGTTCAAACTAGGGGCATTTTAGTTGGGTGTAAGACAAGTCCACCCTGGGACAACTCGGACCGTCTAAAAAAAGACAACTCGGACCATCTATAATGACAACTCAGACTAAGTTAAAGTACAAAATTAGACTTTGGAAGAAATAAATGATTTAAGGAAAAATAACGAGTCTGAAGAGAAGTATCTAAATTGATACTTTTTTTATTCCAATTTTGAGCATGTTGAGTATAGATAAAATTATAACGTCAACTAGGGGCGTGTTTTTTTGTTCTTCGGTAGTGAGCCAGAAGAGGTCCATTTCTGTTTTTTTTTTTTTGGTATTGGGAAGATCTTCTGGCTCTCTTCTACCTCTTCTTTTTTAATAGGTAGTTTAGACGGCAGAGACACATAACAAACATCGCGTTGCTTAGTCTAAATGACATTAATAGATTTATAGAACTGATGCAGAAATGATAAAATATGAGATGTGTGATAAACGTGTTTATGGTATGGCAACCTTATATTAGTAGGACACTATAAGGACAACTAGCTGGATAAATAATAAAAACACACGGATAATAACAGTAAGGGTACGACCTTTTGATATTCTAAGGAGGGGAATGGGACAGGAGGATCTTCTGCGGAATTTTTTATTCATTTAAAATTTTTAACTTGTCGCTAAGCATGCCTATTTTTTCCAGCTCTTACCAGGCCACCATATTCATATTCAAAATCCTCCTGCCCCCCCCCCCCCCCCCTTCCCCCCCCCCCCTTTTCCCTAAAAAATCAAATGATTTTCTCCTTATTTAACACGAGTTTAAATTGATTGATTGTTGTTTGTTTTGTTTGTTTTTAACGTCCAGCGACTAATATTTCATACATGTTTAGACAAGACGCGAAATTAAAAGTCATATATAGAATATCAAAACACAAGTAAGAAGATATGGTATGATTGCCAATTAGGCAACTATCAACCGGAGTTCAATGAAGTAGCATTAGCAATTATAACCAACTGTGCGGCCTTCAAAAATGACAAATACCCATACTGTATATCAGTTATAAAAGGCCCCGACATAAAAAATGTGAAACAATTAAAACGAAATAAAGGAGCGGCCAAACGATATATAACATGTATAACAAACCCATTCTAAAAAAAATCAAATATGAGTCGACAGATATGAACAAACAATAACCACTGAATTACAGGCTCATGATAATGTGGCAGGATTCTGTGAGCGCTCAACCCATCCCAAACGTAGACAGTGGTGTAACAGTACAACATAAAAAAAACGTGTAAAAGTCAGTTGCAATTGGATTAACCCAAAAGATCGGTACGAGACACAACAACAACTAACATTAACTAAAGATGATAAACGTGAAGCACCGAAATAAGAGTATTTGTAGTAACTGAAAACTTGTTAGAAGCCAAATAAAACCAACATTTTCGTGGTTAAGTGACTGCTCGAAAACAAGTTTCTATTTTTGTTATGTGAATTTCTCACTTACCTATTATGTGACCTACAGAATTAGACTATTTACCGGGTTTGTAATAACATGAGCAACACGATGGGTGCTACATGTGGAGCAGGATCTGCCTACCCTTCCGAAGCACCTGAGATCAAACCAAGTTTTTGGTGGGGTTCATGTTGCTTAGTCATTAGTTTTCTATGTTGTGTCTTGTGTACTATTATTTGTCTTATTTGCACAGTTCATTGGTCAATGTTAAAATTTTGTTTTTGTCTATTACTATAAGCAATCATAGATCAACTATATCTAGTGTATGAAATGATTTTAAGGTGTGCATGTCTGTCTGGCAGGGTTCATCTGACGAGTCACCTTGACCCTATTTTTTCATGGTTCATTGGTCAATATTTGATTTTCATGGTTTTGTCTGTTTCTTGTATAAGATAAGCAATAGCAAAACTATATTAAGCGTGTGTA